GAGACGGTTAGAAAGCATCCAGGCACGAATGTCAGCAACACAGTTTTCAATACTCTTTAGTGCAGCATCTTGTGATAAAGATGTATCCGGCCGAAACGAATGATAAATCTGGGTGTCATCTGCATACGTATGTGCATTGGGAAGATGTTTGTCAATAACCTTAAATAACCCAGCCACATAGAGTATGAAGAGGACAGGGCCAAGGCAGCTACCCTGCGGAACTCCCGATTGAAGATTGAAAACTTCCGATTCATAGGAAAATCATAGGAAAAACCAAGAAGTCGGCCTTCTGTGTACCCTATTCTGTGATCTGGAGGACTCTCTAAGGATTTGTGACGTCAGTGCATGAATGGGTCTATATGATGATCAACATCATACATGAAGTGTACCTGTATGTATATTGGCAGGAAAATTTACATAAATGTTTATGTTGTATTCTTTTAGACTGGCAAAGCGCCAACGCCCACCACGTCTAGAGCACAAGACGTCATTATGAGACGACTGCGACCACGTGATGCGAAAGCAGCAAGATGATTGGTCGATGAATGGTTTGTGTAATCATAATGTATGTAAGTTTAGTTTTTAATTGACAATGACATAGTTTACATTGATTTTGTTCGCCGGCATTTCAAAAACACTACAACAACGTGCAAGTTGTTTTGTACGACACTGTTCTTGCGACGCCGATTCTTGCGATTGTCTTGCGAAATGGGGCGAACACAATACTAGATTTCCCTTATTACGTTTTTGTAGCGCTTTGCATTGTGGTTATAGTGGTATCACTGATATTCAAGATGGCTTATTTTTTGTCCTGATCCGTGCAAGAACTTTTAAAAAAGCTAGGGTCAGGTGCGCGATAGCCAACAGCAAAATATTCGCGAAAACACTCAATATTTTCATTCGAGGCCGCTATCTTTATCAGTGATACTACTATAACCACAATGCAAAGCGCCACGAAAACGTGATAAGGCGGGGGATCGTCAATTGAGCAACAATACCATGAGCCTAGGGACAAGTATTGCATTAAGACAAGGCAATGGTTTTATCATAATGATTGTGTTTTCCCCGCTTGGCAAGATGGAGAACATCTAGAACTACAGGTGTAGTGTGGGTTGTGATTATTAGTGGCGGAGAAATTATTCTATAAATGTGTACATAGCATGTCGGTGTTACAGTAAATATTAAAAATTACTGCCGCAGATAACGAGACATATTTGGTTGCAATCAACATTTGTGATTTAAAACTAAAAGATGGCGGCTATATTGGTTTAGAAACACAGTCCAAATCTTATATATCTTATATAAACTAGATAGAGCATCTCTTTTAGTAAAATTGAAGCCAAGAATATTCCAGCGGTTACTCCCATTTGAATAGATGACGGCCATATTGGAGTTTCACACTCCCTAATAAACGCTTAAAAAACAACAATAACTTTCGTCATTTGAATAGTTTGAAAATGTATTTGGAATAGGTTTAAATTAATGTTTAAGTTCCCTGTTTAAGAAATAGAAAACATACGAGTCTTCTCATTTCATGGGAATATCCAGAGTCTGCAATCACGGCTTCAATTTTTGAATTGCAGAATAATTAGATGCACTATCTAGTGTATATAAGATATCTATGGTCCAAATACAGTAGATGTTAACGAGTTTATTTTGCTTAAGCCTGCCGCACACGAGAGCTATCTGCTGAGCAAAAAGTTACTCGTGCCTGTTAGCTCAGCTGATAGCTCACCGATCAAACATGTTTGATACGTGAGAAAAGGTTGCATGAGGCAAAAAACTCAGTAAAATGTACGCGCACACGGTGAGCTATCGGCTGAGCTAACAGGCACGAGTAACTTTTTGCTCAGCAGATAGCTCTCGTGTGCGGCAGGCTTTAAGTCACTTCAACATGGCGGCCATTACATCACGCGATATCCAATAATTCGGTGCAGATTTCCTTTTCTTTTGTCATATAATTGGAAATTGTCTGCAGCAAATTCCAATCCTTATAATGACAAGGCAATTATAGCCTATTTTTCACTTCAATCGTACCGAAACGTAGCATATTTCTTTGTTTCCTACTTTCCTGAGCGGTAGTGTGGAACTAATGACTTTGATTCAAAAGAAAATGCTACGGAACGTTGCGATAGGGTTGAAGTGGAAAACTGGCTTAAAGTGGAAAACAAGGAAGAAAAGGATGTTGAGTATGCGACACAAGTTTCAACACGAAGCACAAGCTTCTATATGCATATACAGGGTGTATAAAAAAAAAGGAGACTTTTCAATTGCACATATGCTGAACCGTAGTGCGTGAATTGCATATATTAGAAAAAGGAGACCTTTAGAAATTGAAATAACGTTTAAACAAGAGATTGTCTGCTCCTGGCAACAATCTGCCATGCATACTGTACATAGATCGCATGTTACGCACTCGTGGACTTAGCAAAGTGCTCCAGGATTCAAATGATAACACAATGGTTGATTTCCATCAATATTTCACGCACCACGGTTCAGCATATGTGCAATTGAAAAGACATTCAAATTTTAACAATATGCTTGATTTCTAAAGGTCTCCTTTTTTTATACACCCTGTAGAAATTGTCTTCATGCTCATGTGCCTTGGGTGAACCAGGATTTAAATTATTTTCTATTATCTCTTACGCATGTGACATGCATGACTTAAACAATCAAGTTTATAACAAAAGGGATTGTTTTAAATTCTTTCACAAATAAACCGGATTGGTCAACTTGCGTTGAATTCTGATTATATATTCAAAGCTCGCTGGTTTTAAACGCAAACTACACGGTGTCCGTGCAGCATTTTTTGCCCGAATTCGTGCCACACACATTGAGATACGAAAGTCTAAAGAGTTTGTGCCAACAGGCGGTTAGTTAAAGAGATGGACACATACGAGAAACAAAAACCATCAGCAACTCCAGACGGCCACAAGAGCCTTCGCAAAAAGTTTGTCAGAACGTTGAAAGGGAAGCCAGCTTTGAAAGAGATTTATGGCGAACCTATGAAAGTGTATTTGCGAGTTCGACCGTTGTCTGAGTCGGAGTTGATAGCGGGTGAGTCACAAGATTGCTTGCAGTTCGAGGATGATACGTCCATTGTCGTTCAACCACCGAATGATTCTGCTTCTTTCAAGAATCAGTCCCGTACTGGCATGCACGCTGTCCATCGCTTCGATTTCTCGCATGTGTTTGGGCCTGAAACCAGCCAGAAGAATTTGTTTAAAGATACAACGCTCGATGTTGTCAAAGATTTTGTAAGAGGACAGAACTGTTTAACTTTCAGCTATGGAGTCACCAACGCTGGAAAGGTTAGTTAACTATTTGTGTCTTCAAGTTGGAATTATAATCTAGTATAATATATTACATGACTGCCAACTCTCATCCTAGCCACAGAATAGGAAGGTACAGCAGAAGTGTAACTCAAGCAAGTATTTGTCCGCGTTTTTACAAGTGATTCGTCATCAATCACGCCATCCTGGCTAGTACAACCGGCACTTTGTACCTACCAAAACCTGATAAAAACTTCCGGCTGTACTAGCCAGGATGACGTGGATTGGCGTGAGCGAGTTAAAATTTTCGTGGACGTAAAACAATAAGGGAAGCGACTCGAGTTCCACTTCTGCTGTACCTTCTTATTCTGTGTCGTAGCTTTGGGGTTAAAATTTCTCTTATTTTTTAGACCTATACTATATATGGTTCGGGACGGGACATCGGCATATTGCCACGAACATTGAATGCTGTCTTTGAAAGTTTCAAAGATAAAATCTATACTCGGACAAACATGAAGCCGAAGTTCTTCAGTGATGTCATCACTCTTACGAATGCCCAGGAAAGCAAGGAGGAAAGCAAGAAACAAACTGTGCTTACAATGGCTGAACATTCCGTAAGTTTTATACTCTAGACTATATAGAAGCTTTGAACTGGATAATTTCTGTCTAACGTTTCTCCCTCGTCACAGAATAGAAACTATACAGAAGCACGACTGCTTGGTTTTCCCTATGATTTTGGCGTAATCGTAATTCGTCATCAAAATGATGACGCCATGGTCCTAGCCAGTGTGCTTATGTCACTCCCTGATAATATTCAAAATGGTGGACATCCGGGGGGGGGGGGTGAATGTCTCTCATAAGCGCACTGGCTAGTACGATGCCGTCAGCATTTTGATGACGAATCATAACGTGACAGCGGTTACCCTTTTTTGGCTGAGTTGGCCTTCATTGTTTCTTTATTCAGTGATAGAGACCTTTACAGAAGCCCGACGTCTTGGTTTTGCCCATATTTTGGTGTAACCGTTGCAACGCTGTCGCCAGTGCACTTACGAGAGGCATTGCCCCCTGAAAATATTCAAAATTGTGGATGTTCAGGGGGGTACCTCTCGTAATATGATAAACTGATAAAAATGATGCTTTTTAGACTTTCTCAGAGGATGTGAACCGAATCACAAGCTGGTTGAGTAGTCCACATCTAAAATACCTTACGGATGAAGGTACCAAACATTATGCAGGCTGTATATTACTATATACCTGACAGTCCCATCATATCTCTATTCTTTATTTTCGCATCTAGAGTTCAGTATTGATCTCCATTCAGATTTGGAGATCGATGAACGAGATCAGTTTGCATTATGGATTTCATTCGCGGAGATCTATAATGAGCAAATATTTGATCTACTTGAACCATTGAATGTTAAAGAAAAGAAACGAACTGTATTAAAACTTGGTGATGATAAGAACGGCAATCCTTATATTAAAGGTATGTTTTGTGAAATAATATATTAAATTGGTTCTGTTGTATCTTTTATCCTCCTGATCATAGCAAGAGTAATGACGGATTCTGACATCTAGGATCCCAGAAAAATTTCAGACCTGGCTCAGCTGGAGAAAATTTTATGGCATTACATTATGCTAACAGGGGCAGAAAATAATTTATCAGGAAGAATATTAGTTAGCCTGCGAGCAGGCTAAATATTAGTGAGGTCGCCGGAACTTTGACCCCAAAACTTGGGATCCCAGACACAAAAATTTCCTGCTATGATCGTAACATCTTACTGTTTGTTTTTTTTTTTTTCATTCTAAGGACTCAAACATGTTCTTGTATGTAACCAAGAAGAAGCTTGCAAGGTAACATTCTACTTCGTCTTCCCATGCTAATATCTTCTCTTCATCGACTTGATTGGATTGCAGGGTCCGGGGAGCACCCGGCGAAAACCCACGACGTTTGGCAGAGCGTTAACTGACTCTTTTCACGTGAGTCCAAAGCAAAAATCGAACCCACGGACTCAGAGGTGAACGGCGCTTGCTCCGATGTCTACGCCACCGAAACTTTAAATTTCGCTTTCCTTTTTAAACAGGTTTTAAAGATTGGGCAACAGAATCAAAGAAATGCTTCTACAAAGTTGAACAATAATTCCAGTAGAAGGTAGTATTAAAACTATAAAACCTTTACAGTTTTGACATCTTTATTGTGATGGGAGGCAAACTTTTCTTTTTATTTTCAGTCATTGCATCTTCAACCTGAAGCTCGCGAGACTGACTGTGAATCATCAGGGCGAAGCAAATATCGTTAAAGTCAGTCAGTAAGTAATTTATGTAAACCGTTACATTGATGATAAGATATTGGGGAGCGTTTACATGAAGTAACGGCAAAAGTAAAACTCTCGTACAACCACTGTAATAATCGTAATTTTCCAGGTTGTCGTTCGTTGATCTCGCTGGCTCGGAGAGATACTCCAAAACTCAGAACAGTGGTGATAGATTGAAGGAAGCTGCAAATATCAATACTTCTCTCATGACTCTTGGCAAATGTGTGGAACAACTGAAGTACAATCAAAGCCACAGGTAAGGAGGCGTTTTGTGGGAGAGGTTGTTTCCGAGATATTGGTGACACAGTGATTAGACGGTACATGTGTTTGATTCTCGCTGCGAACTCCTGACACGTATGTGAAAAGGGTTGGTCGACGATCTACCGAAATTCGTGGGTTTTCCCCGGGTACTCCAATTTTCTCCCATCCGGAACGAGCCCCAAACTGACACCTCCGCTGTAGCTGTACTCTGTGGCTAGACACGAATCGTAAGGTACCCTCTGTAAGCCTTTGACGTGATCAGGTTGAGCTGCATGCTTCGTAATTCAGCTTGACTCTCAGCTGCAAGTAAGGATGATTAGCAAGCCCCACATTATAGTAAACAAGGCTGGAGTCCTTCACAAGTCGTTTCATGACTATTTTTTAAACTATAGATTATCTTCGTTTATGCAGGAGTAACCCAAAGAACGTGCCGTTTCGTGAAAGCAAGTTAACTCGATTGTTTCAAGTCTTCTTCTGTGGGCAAGGCAAAGTGTCGATGATTGTAAACGTCAGTCAGTGTGCTTCGGCATTTGACGAGACATTCCATGCCTTGAAGTTCTCTGCCATCGCTAGAAAGGTAAAGATATCTGGTTCTTCAACAATCTCGCAAGCTAGGCTCTCTACTTCTGCTTCCTTCCCAAGCCTACGGAGCCCGGCTTGCGAGGTTGGTTCTTCATTTAACCCATAGATCGATAAGCTCAAATCCTGGCCTTCATACCCTGGCCTTCCTACCCTGGCCTTAGATAACCACTGGCTGTTTTAGTTTCAGTGTTCTGCATGTTTGTATATTTCGGAAATCTTCGACGATTTGTGTAATTATCGACATCTACGTTTCGGCACAGCATCATCAGTATTGCATCCCCAAACCTTTTGAAACTACCGCAAATATCTTCACGTTTTGCTTCGTTCAGGTTGCAACGATCAGCGTCGAGTCGTCGTCATACATTGAAGACCTACCGAAGCATGACTTTCAGGTATCTCGATAAAAGTGTTGTTCTATGTAAACTTCCTTAACTTTGGCTTTATTAGTTCTAGATTGTTCTCCCTAGAGATTTAATATAAGAATCATTCCAGGATTTAGTATAGAGGAAACCTAAACTAAACAACGTAAAATGGATAGCACTATCAGTCCTAGACTGTTCTCTCTAGAGATCCAGTAAGGGTTATACCTTATGGCAGGAGGAAACCGAAATAGCTTGGGGCTTTATGCAGACAGACTGAAAGAACTTATTCGCATGTACCAGCTGCATATTGTGGAAATCATCTGAAGTTGGCAGCTTGTTTTTATTTCTTTCAGCAATTAATGTCGATCATTAAAACACTTCAAGCGAAAGTGACGGATGAGGCGATGAAGAAAGCCATGATGGAACTAAGAATTAGGGAAGAAGTTGCGCAGGAAATGAATGAACAGATTGCCGAAATAGAAAATATGTACAGGTTTGTATGCTTCTCTTTCTTGTACAAGCTATAAGTCGTGAACAAAATCCTTTAATATAGGCTTGTACAGGCTTTAATTAAATCGGTTGGAAAGTTCAGGTTGAACGCTGATGGTCGCCTGACATTAACCAGGTGATCTCGTGTTCGTATTTTAGCCAATCAGCGTTCAGAAAGGGTTGTCCGAATAGAAATCCATTTTGATGTATTCAGTCAATTATATCTTTCATTATTCTTTATGAAACTAGTTGAAATTTTGTAATTATGTTTGGTTATGAGAACTATAGCTCTGACAAAAATATGGAATCGAAATAAAGTATATTACAGGAGATATTCAGTTGTTTTAATCATAAAATGGATTTCTATTTGACAACTAGTGCCAGTACTTTTCCGCGTATCAAGATCACCTGGAATTCATTAATGAACTAAACTAAACTTACAATTTCGTTTTTTATTCCAATTTGACTTTGTCCGCAGCTTAGATAAACGGGGCGTAAGTCAAACTAATATTGCTTATGTAGCTCCCTAGCTTTATCAGTTTTGGAACTGTTCTCCTTATAGAGTTTCATTGGGGGACATTGTTACTGGTTATTAATGGACTTTAATATGGAATATTTGTATGACAATTGCATACTGTAGCAATGGAAGCCCTGTCTTGTAGGTGGAAGAAATACTGAAAGGCACATACTTACCATGCAGTCACATTAAACATGATGTTATTTTTCAGCAACCTTCTAAAGACAGAACGTCACATTAACGAGGAAGTTTTAGAAAAAAGGATCGAGATTTTGACGAACTCTGTGCGAAAATCTCAACGACAAAAACGTATCTCCGCTATGGAGGTCTTTGAAGATAGTGACGATGAATACGTTTCTAGCATTCTTTATCATCGGGAACAGATGAAAGTGAAGGTAAACATAAATGTATTATAGTTCCAGGGGGGATAAACCGTCTCAAGAAAGAAGGGGTGGTGGACGATTTTTGTAGTAATAATGGAGGTTACTGAAAAGGGGTGGAGAGGGGATTGTAAAGCAGGGATGGATCCAGCATGATCTGGGGGGGGGTGCTCTGGTGCCGACTGCAGAGTTGTGTCGGTCATGTGTGCCGCACGCCCATCAACTACTTATTTGAATTGTAATTGTTGTTCACAGTCCCCCCCCTGCACCCCCTCTGGCCAGGGCTAGGGGGTGCGCACCCCCCAGTAAATCCATTCCTGGTGTAAAGTTTAAAAAGGGAAGGGGATAAGAACTTGAAAACGTTTTAGAACTTAATGAGCCATCCAGTATAAATAAAGTTAGATGGCTGTAATTAATGCTATCAATTTTTTAAACTAATGTAGGAGCAAGCTCAAATTATACAATGTATGAAGGAGACGATTGAAAAACAGAAAGATATCATCAGTGGATTACGTGAAGTAAGTTGATGGTTTTAGGAAAATATCTTTAAACTTGGGATTCCACATCTTGTTTGAATTTCTTTCAATATCCACGTTTTGTTGAAAATGTGGGTATATATGTAAACAAGACTCTTGTTCTATTAATTTTCTTCTTTTGTTTAGGAAGTTGCTACAGGCGATTTTGTTCCTTGTACAAGGTTGGGTTTTATTTGTGTTCAGATTGTTACAAACATCATCCTTGCTTTGTTATTCATCTTCTTCTTTACCTTGTATTTCTACATGTTTCAGGGAGGCGTCAGTGGAGGATTTGACTGAGATGGTGTTTACTACCCCACCATCTCAAGTAAGTGCATTTGAATATATACACACACGTAAGAATCTTGCATCTTGTCAACAATTAAGATGTGTTCGCAACAGGCTTGTTTCTAGCTTGTCAACAATGTAATTGGTAGTTTTTCAAGTTGCTACAAGATTGTGACTCACGACGTGTTAACAAGTTGTTGAATTGACCATTTGCGTAATAGACTAAATTTTGATCTAAACAAGTCTAGACAAAAATTTCATCACAGCTTGAAAGAGCATCACAAAATTAGTAATATTCCAAAGTTTCGTTGCGAATTGTTGTAAAATGCGGATAATATAGCCTTGCGAAATTTGCAATTTTTAATCATTTTAGATTACAAACGGGAAATTGACAGCCTCAAAGGGTTTGGGGCTGTCAATTTCCCGTTTGTAATCTAAAATGATTGAAAATTGCAAACTTCGCAAGGCTATATTATCCGCATTTTACAACATTTTGCAACGAAACTTTGGAATATTACTAATTTTGTGATGCTCTTTCAAGCTGTGATGAAATTTTTGTTGAGATCAAAATTTAGTCATTACGCAAGTTGTTGAATTGCAGGACGTCAACAAGTTGTTGGAACAACTTGCAACAAGTCAGATGAGTCAACAACCTTGCGAGCAAGTGGTCAACAAGCCGTTGACAATTTGGGAACAATGCGAACACATACTGATAACAAGTTGTTGAAACAGCATTACTACAGTCAGCTGCATATTTGTTACAGTTGTGCGCTGTTACGTGTGTCTGTGGGCGCAAGGTATACAAATCCATACAGACAAAGGCCCACCCTCCCAGAAAATCTTCACTTCTGCCAATTGAGCATGGATTCGGCCTTGGCGTGGTGTTGACTGTGAAAAGCAAGATCTATATTGTTCAATTATGGCAAATTGCATCGAGCATTGTATAAAATGAGGCATTGTATTTTATTTCCAGCGTGGATCGTATATTGCAGACCCATGTACAGAAGAGCCTGGTACGAAGTCGAACAAAAAAGGGATATTAAACAAATTGGAAGACTTGAAAGATAGTGGTAGTAGTTCAATCTCTCGCTCAGGTACCACGTTATTTTATTTTCTAGTTAGCATAGTCTTATTGAATCCGGCTTAGTTTGAGAGCACTCCTTCGCTTATCCATCACGCAGTCATTGAAAACGGTATACCCAACGCCATTTTACTCTGTCGTCGCGATTAGGTCGAACTGATACCATCTAAGAATCGATGATATTTTAGCGCATGAATTTTTTCAGTTCTGCTGTGTTTGCCAAAGTTGTGCTTGCTCGACATTCGCGTAAGTTTTTTTTGTCTCCTTCCACCTTCAGCGAAGAAATTGAAGAGGAAAATGTTCCACGGCTCACCGTCATCACCCAGGAGTTTTTCACCCTTGAGCTCTGCGAAGAAGGTAAGTTCTCTCGATCATTGAACTTTGTAATATTCATGTTTAGACTAGAATAAATCTTATTGATTTAAATAATGAAAAAGAAAGTTTGTTTGCAAACAATCGTACTTATATTTGAATACAAAACATGCAAATTTCTCACACTCATCACTCAATCAATTCAATGTTTTCTTATCATTGTATTATCTGAAATATTTCTTTCTTGATACACTTTTTTGTTAGGACAAAACTGAGGAAAGATTATTGAAGAAATCTATGAAAAATTCTCCAAAAAGATCACTCCGTTCTAGGAAACTTTAAAACCGTTGTGGAAAAAAAACCCACTCCATTCCAAGAAACGTCAAAACCATTGTGGCAGGACCACGGCAAAATAACCAGCTGAAACACAACGTTTTATTTTGTATATATAGGAAATTTATATATTTACTGTTGTCTCAGTATAATAATTATTATAGTGATAATTTTATTTTAAATTATATTTGCATGTCTACCACAGGTATATTGGTTAAGATACCTCTACGGCTTTAGATACGATAATACGAACTGCATGCTTATTATTTTTTTCATTTTTATTATATTTATGATGTAAATAAATTGAATAGTTTAAGTTATATTTACCCTTATAATATTTTAAATAAATATTTTGAAACCCTTTCTGTTCTAATATTCTGGGTCTCAATTAGGCACTGTGCGAACAACACCCACTTCACACATTTTTTAACGTTGATAATGTAAACTAGCTTTGCTGTTCTTTGATCTCTTATCTATTATGACTGTATGTTTAGTTTAACACCATGTGTAGTTTAAGAGATGCTTTTTCTACGTTACATGACACGCGCTCAAAACTAATGAGTATAATACCACTTAATTGATTATGCACTTCCTTTTAAAATTTTATTTTTATACCTTTCACAATCAGTCCGGGATGGATTTACTGGGGGGGGGGAAGGTTGCGCACCCCCTGTCCAGAGGGGGTGCTATTTTTCATGATAAAGCAAAAAAGTACTAGAGACAAAATGAGACACAGTAATTTGAGTAGTCACATGATGATGATAAGCAAACTGTGAACAACAATTACAATTCAAATACAGTAGTCAAGCAAGTTGATGGGTGGGCGGCACACATAACCGACACAACTCGGCACCAGAGCTGGCAGAGCACCCCCGCCCCCTACCAGATGATGCTAGATGCATCTCTGCAATCGGTAACCAAATGTTCACTACATAAGCTATAAAATAATGTCGAGAAAACGATGTTTGAAGTTTAGTAAGTTTTGCTTTATAAATTAAATATGGCATCAAATTAATTTATAGCATCATTGATACGACAGTTGTATTTGAAATTCAAATTTTTACTATTTTTATGTTTCCATGCAGCCAGATGCATTTAAAAAGTAGCTAACTGTATAAAATGTCGAACGGTTGGTGCAAGTGTATGTAGATCAAGAGAAAGAGGATACAACTACTTAAAAGATAAAAGCAGAACTTCAAGCTAAAGCCCTGGGCAAACTAGGAAACATTGTTTCCTACCAATGTTTCGCCATGTTTCCAAGAGTGGGCAAACATTAGTGAGAAACATAGGGAAACATCAAATGTTTCTGAATTCGCTAGGAAACATTTTGCTTCTCGGGAAGCAAATTTTGTTTCCGCAACAATGTTTCCACGAGTGGGCAAACAGGGAAACATTTGAGGAAACATCGAGAATCACAAATGTTTCCACAACAATGTTTCCTTGTTTGCCCAGGGCTTAACTACATGAACTAGAGCATAAGCTAAAACAAAGTCATTTTGAGAGGATAACGCCAAAACGAGTTTAGATTTTGAACACTTTCCATCCCAAACACACAAGGTAGAAAAAATTACCTCCTGACACCGGGTATTACATGACTTGAGATTAATACAAATGCTTCCTGGATCAGAGAATATAAATATTTAAATTTCACACATTTTTCACGAAAACAGAAGTGTTTCATGTCTGTTAAGATTACAATATGACGCAAAGGTCCATAACAAGTTTAGTCAATAAATGTAGGGTTTTTTTCTAATCCTGCATACTGTGTCCTTGATCTATATAAGGTTTCTCGTGTGTGGTAAGAACTTTCTATAATTGGCTTAAATGTTTGGAGATAAGAAGTAAAATAGCTTTTGGCCTTATTTAATTAGAGTTTCTCACCCTCTTAAATATTAATATGTGCGATAAGCTCTGATAGTTTTTAAATAGTTAAAAATTGCTTCACTTTCATGTGTCCAAACGCATGCAGTATAGCCCATCATGCAATCCACCCTGTTCTGATAGAGGAAATGCAGCACTTTCAGGTAGACCAGAAATGCAATAAAGCATGAATTTCACCAAGCGAAGTGCAAAACTGATGGCGTGAACAATGCTGATGGCGTGAACGTTTGAGGTGGGCTGGGGGCCTGAGGACTATATTATGCAATGCAAGTTCGTTATTCATGCCTGAGGATTACATTATGCAATGCTACATTATTTCATGGAATATTTTTTGTTGACTAAGAATTTCAAAATAAGATCATATCATCCATTGCCAACAATACTGTACATACATAATACTATATTTACAGGACAAACATGTATAAGAATACACCCAGGCAATACCGTATGTAAACAGTAAATACCATTTTTTTAAGTAAGGAAATAGGGTATTATACCTAAACCTCTTGAAATATAGCCGTAAGAAAAAACAATGTAACAGATACTTATTTTATTAGGAAGTTGATTGAGAACATTTTGAAAAGTCGAGCAAAGACCTTTTCAGTCGAAGGGTTAGAAATATCATAGGTTTCAATCAATGCAAAGGTTTCAATATTTTTCAGATAGTCAAAGTTGACAAGCTTTCGTCGATAGGGATGCAGCTACCTGAAAAATACAAGGCGAATCCCTACCAACGGGGGAAGGTTGCATCCCCTACCAACGAAACTTATTTAATAGGTGGGCTTCACTCAAGCCTTTATACACATAGGGAAACTCTTGGTGGTCAAATTTACACATGTTGCCGCTTTATGCCTTGTGGAAGCAAGTAAATTTCGTTAAATTGCATATATTTGATACCAAACACAACATCAATACTTTTTATGAATATTTAATTCGGTCCGATAAATGTATTTGCAGTTGCCCACCAAGCGCTAAACGTATCACGTGACTGAAACCCAGCTATTGCATTGTTCAATGTCAAAGTTGAACCGAGGATACTTTGACGTCAGGTTTATTTTTATTTTAAAAGAAAATCTGGCCAGCAAAGCACTTTAGGATGAAATCAATACATGGCACTGACTCGATAATAGAACACTAGATGGTGTCCAGTATAAGAATTTCAACATTTTTGTCGAATAATCAGCATAATTTCCGTATTTGCAAAATATAGCCTATTGATAAGGCTAGTATTCTTGTCTGAGATTTAATGTGTAACAAGAAATGACATATTTAAGGAGTGTTTGAAGACTCCAAAACAGGAAACTCCCACATTTACAGGCTCAGTTAGACTTTGCAGTTCGATTTACTGACAATTACTCGAGCCAAGTATTTGAATTCATGAATCAGGAAGCAATTATGTGAATATTGCAAATTAATTGTGAATCAAATGCTGTCGTCGTAAGAAGCATTAAAAATTGAAGACCCGAGGTTTTCGTTCCTACTCCGACGCAGTGAGCTCCATATCTATAGAGCGAGAACTCCGATGCAAAAAGTAAAGCTTCATGTTAACCGCGCACACAAAAAACAATAGAATGGGACTGGAACTAACATCCAGGGGCCGGTTGTATAAAAATGTGATTGAAGTTAACTATAGTTGGTGGAAATGTCATCCAATAAGAAGCGCGTATTTGAGAGTTTCACGGCTATTTAACTACAAAATAGTGATTAAAAAGTGATTAAAGAGTTTTACACAACCGGCCCCTGAGCTCACTGCTCCGATTAGGCCGTAAGGAACAACTACAAATAGAGGAAAATAGCCAATAGGATATCATTAGTTTAGACTCAGGCGCATGTGCAATTAAGCGAATCAGTGTAGCATTTAGCATATAGGCCTGGTTCAAAGTGAGTGTAGGAAGTGATTTCAAACATTGAAAACTTTGTGTTGAAAAACAAGACACTAACCTGTGTTTATAAATTTCCCACTGAAAGTGATAATTACGTTAGTAATTTTTTATTAGATAAAGCTTAAAATATACAGTCTAATTTAAAGCATAGATTATTCTGTTTTAATTTGTCTCGTAAAACCAAAAATAACTGTCTAGTTTTAGTAAACGGATGCAACTTTTGTGAAATAAGACGAGTTAGAAACATATCACTCAAATGCTGCAAGCATGAGTTGGAAATAGTAGTTAAAAATAAATAGCTAAAATTATAAGTTTGGAGCTGTCGTCAAGCTTACTGACATGACTGCAAAGTATTTCATTGTGGTATAAAGCGAAAATAATTGAATGTGTTTTTCTGAAGAAAACACAAGCTTCTAGAACTGTTTTAGATTTTTTTTCGAATGTTCTACGATAAAAATTACAAGTATAATTAAGCTTAGCTTACCTTTTGTGAAAGCTATAATCATTCGCAGGCCGTAATGAATTCCCTAATCTCGTAAGGAAGACGGTATGTCCGTTCGCAGGTTTGAAATTGAAATGTGTATGTCTGCATGTTGAAAAGCTAATTTAAGGTAAAGCTTTGTGAAATACAATATAAAAAACAACCTTGTACGGGGTAGCGGGGGTTCCAAACATGTCGACATGCATGTGCCATATGAACAGTTTTCAGCTAAGTGTCATCATTATTTTTGCCGTGATTGTAGGTTATATTTCCATGTTCTAAACACGCTAAATATGCAAATGAATAGAAGAAATATCACTGATTAAAGCCTGACCCTAAAACAAACCCAGAACCCTAACCATACAGGACTGAACCTACTCGTGTCAGGCTGATTCAGTCATGATTAACGCCGGTATTCTAAAAGCTCACTCACACTCAATGAGTGGAAGTTCAATCTGAGCGTCAATGCTGTTTTTTAATAGCTGGAGGCTGAGTACTGAGTAGTCACATAGTACGGTACGGCACTAACCATCCAGCTATTCAAAAACAGCACAGACACTCAAGGGAAGCTCATATTGAACCTCCACTCATTGAGTGTGAGTGAGCTTTTAGAATACAGGCGTAAGTCACGTTGAAATGAGTTCACGATCGGTCCAACATTATTGGTCCAACAATGGGCCACTACAGGATGGAAATTTTAAACAAAGTAAAACTCAGATACAACATCTTCAAACATGACCCAATATAGTGTTCAAACGAGGCCATTGCATCCAATGATGTTGAACGACCGTGTTGGCCTCGTTTGAATGTTCCTTCAGGGTTAGACTCGGGCTTCAGTCGATGTTATTTCGCCTCCGACATTTGCATAAAGTGTGTTTAGGGCATGAAATTATGACCTGCACATGCATGTCGTTGTGCATGTATCTACAATTTCCGCGGTCTTTTCCAAAGCACGCAAGAGTATAGAAAATAAACGTATCAGGAACCGCATACGTCATCAAAAAGTGCTGCAATCAATTGCACTCCATGTGAACGCCATTAACCCCTATTGTGAAAATGGGAATGTCGAGACATTGCTGTAGAGCCGATTTACGTTTCTAACATTGCCGATTTGTCT